AAAAAAAAAAATTGGGGGCCGGGGAGATGGCTCAGTAGAATAAGCGCTTGCCTGACAATCCAAGGTCCTGAGTTCAATCCCTGGTACTGCAAAAAAACAAAACAAAACAAAAACCAAAAACCAAAAACGTATCTTGGGTCTGTAACATAGCCAGATATATTACACAACAAAATTACTGCACAAGGAAGGGGCAAAGTAAGTTTTTTGGGGTTTTTTTGGGCAGAACTAGGGTTTGAACTCAGGCCCTTGTGCTTTCCAGGGAAGTGCTTATTCCACTGAACCATCTCCCTGTCCCCCTCTTGCTTTTAAATGAAATATTAAATTACATGTCAGTAAAAACACACAAATAAATAAAGATAACTGGAAAATCTCTAATTATACATTAAGCAACACATGGTAAGCCACCAATGTGTCAATATGTATCAGAAAAAACATTTTGAGCTGAATAAAGAAAACATTTTAAGTCAAAACATATAAGGCAGTGTTTAGAGCAAAATTATAGTTGTAAATACATACATTAGAAAACAAAGATTTAAAATCAAAACCTAAGCTTCCAGTAACTAAGTTTACTGAGTAGTGAACTAGAAAAACATAACAGATAAAACCTAAACATAAAAACGATAGCAGAGGCCGGGGAGATGGCTCAGTGGAATAAGTGCTTGCCTGGCAAGTGCAAGGGCCTGAGTTCAATCCCTGGTTCCACCAAAAAAAGAAGGAAAAAAATGAGAGCAGAAGTCTGAGATTTCTGAGATAAGACAGATGTATAATGTAGGAAATTATCTTCCTTTCACTTATAGCAGAGAAAACGCACAGCAACAGATGAAGCATGGTTACATCTCCATGTGGGAAAACCTCAAAAGCATAGCTGTGAGCCAAGAGAGCGGAGCACCGAGAACACAGATGGTGCGGCACAAAGTTTAAATGAAAGCAACGCCCTTGGGGACATGGAGGCGGTGCCAGTCTCATGCAGTGAAGGAAACGGCTATCACCAGCACGGACACAGGCCACACACAGTCTCTTCAGGCTGCACGCTGCGTGGGAAGCACGCTGTCCCCACCGCTCCTAATGCTTCCATTTCCTGCCTGTACTCTTGCAGTACATGAGGAAGTGCTGAAGGCTCCCAAGACAGCCCTAGTGTGGAGACCGAACACGTTTCTAGCATCACTTCGCCTACCCTCCTGTATCACACCGATATTTCCATCACAAGGTACACTGACTTCACGGACAGCAACTTAAAATCACCTTTTATTGTTTTAGCACTTACCTAGCTCCATAGGTAACATCTTGATAGGATTTCTTTCTAAAAGCAAAGTTTTCAAATGCCTTTAAAACAAACAAACAAAAATAATAACTTAAAGAGCAGAAAAATGACCATCCTTAAAATATGCTATCAAATCTCTTTTTATTCTCTTTCAAAGGGTAACTGCAATAGATACATCAGATACATCACAAATTCACAACATGCTTATGGCATTAGCCAACACACGGAGCCAGGCAAGCTCTCTCAGCTCTAACCCTACCAACTTTGGGACCAGGTAATTTTTGGCCAAAGGGGTCTGGCCCAGGCGCTTTGGGTATCCAGCAGTATCCCTGGCCTCTCCTCACCAGACACCAGTGGTGCTACCCACCGCTGCCCCAGCTGTGACAGCATCCATGTCTCCAGACACTGCCAATGGTCTCCTGGGGGCAAAAGCAAGCTCAACCAAATGTCTGTTGAAAATTCCTGATCTGGGCTTTCACGTCTTTAGGTTATAAATGGCACCTTTACAAACACCAGTGTTTCTAAAGGTGTTTGGGAGATTTCTGCCGCAAAGGATACCCCAAACACTCAGAGATGAATAGTTTGCACAGTGGGGCCTCCGGAGGTCCCTTTTCCTAGGCACCCCTACCAGCGGGCGAGACTCCTGCCCCTTGGCTAGCCTGCTCTGCTACAGCTAGACTGCACTGAGATGTGAAGAACAGTGCTGAAATCACTGTACCAGGGCTGGGGAGATGGCTCAGTAGAATAAGTGTTTGCCTGGCAAGCGCAAGGGCCTGAGTTCAATCCCTGATTCCGCAAAAAAAATAAAAAATAAAAAAAAATAAAATAAATTAAAAATAAAAAAACAAAAAAAAGAAACCACTGCATCTTTTAGGGAGCTCACCTGCTACTCTTCCCTCTTCCCACTGCCAGGCGTCTAGGAAGCACTGAGCAGAGACCCACCCCCCACTACGGCAGCAGGCCATCCTTGCAGAAAAGCTCCCGCCAGCTTTTGCATTTGCCGTGGCATCCTAGAAACCACGTGGTCCTGTTCATGGAGGCCTCGACGGCACCAGCGGGCCCTGGCCCCCACGGCAGAGCAGGGTTGTGGCTGCAAGCCAGTCCAGGGCCCCCACTGCAGCTTTCCCTCTCAGGAACTTACACATTGATTACTTCACTGCACTGATTGTCAGTGGAACATCTACATTTATATTCTGAATTGCATTTGTTTGCTTCAGGGGCAACTGATTTAATTTTTCAAATCTTTCCTCTCTGCTAGCAAGCTAACATATTGAAAACACCAAGAGAAAAAATAAATAAATAAAACACCAAGAAGGGGAAAACATTAATAGTCATTGTTTTAATTACGTTTTTTGAGAAATTTAAGGCTTTTAATAAGCCCATAATTACTTAAAATTTGTAATTAATATGTTTCAGCTCTTGAGCAAGCTGATTCAATTTTAATATAATGGTTTATAAATCACAGGCCAAATTATATCTTAAACAACACAAAACAGCTGGTTTTGACTGGCAAAATCGAAGAATTCCAAAATTTGAGAATTGTGCATTTATTTTAAGAAGTGCTACTTATGGGAATAGGATTTAGTTTATTTTTACTCTTGAGGAGCAATTACTCTCCAGAACTGAGTGCTGAGGATGCAGAAGTCGTTCCAAACATGGAAGACCACAATTTGAGGCAGCAAGGCTTCCCTGCCCCTGCAAGCTCAGACACTCCTGAAGACGCCGGCAGCCCGCTCCAGTCTTGCGCTGCACGCAGCTGGTGACAGGCCACTGCAGGCGCGGTGCTCTGGGCAGGTCTGTCTGTAACTCACCCTGTAGCCCCAAGCCGCCAAGAGGTTTCTAGTTGTGTCTCCACCTGCTGTAACACCAGCTTCCTGTCAGAGGAGGCTGCTTCCTTATAGAACCAGAGGCCGGGGGGAGAGAATGAATGGGGCAGACAGCTCACACTGGGCTCATGTGGAATAAGCCCACTCCGCCAGCGACACAGTGGCCCACATGACATAATCATGACCTGGGGACAGGTCACTCACAAGGACCTGGAGTCAGCCCTGCATACCTCTGTACCTCTCTCACCCCACATCCAACCCGAATCCTGATAGCTCGCCAGTCCACAGGAGGCTCTGCCTCAGACAGGGAGACACCCCGCTGTTTTCATCCCCCAAGCTCCTTTCTTTACAGAGTGATGAGGCCAAGCACAATTCCACCCGTGTTCACTCAAGCCCTCCTGTGACTTCTCAGTTCTTTATGACAGATACCAACATTGAGACACGGGCTCCAAGCTCTGGTGACTGTTTAGCTTCGTCTCTCAGCCTCCCATCATGTCCCCAGGTCTGCTTAATTACACTGGCCATCTCTGGTGCTCGTCACGCACATGTCTACCCCAGGGCCTTTGAATGTGCTCTTCCTCTGCACAGGTGAGCCACCATGGAGGGGGATCTGAAGTGCTGGCCGAGGGGCAAGGACACAGCAGTTTCCACAATAAAGCCACCTGGCTGAGAGCAAGGGCTCAGGGAAGGAGCGTGACTCCACAGCAAAAGGCCTTGGCTGCTGAGTGGGGGCCCTGGCAGAGGTGTGGCTTTCAAAGATGGGGCTGGATTGTGCTCTGGGATTGGGAGTGTGAAGAAATCCTTGCAATCACAGTGCAGGCGTAGAGCTGGACAGTCAGCACTGCCTGCTTAGGGTGTTTCCAGTTTTCCAAAATGGGAAGAATTTCCCATTAGTTTCCAGGAACTACAGCAGAATACATGGTGCCTACAGGAATAACATAGCTGGATTTAACTCATCACAGATTTTTCTGGCCTCTGGACAGCTTCCCGTGGGACAGTCAGAGAAGAGTTAGTATTATAAAAACAGCAGATTGCCCGGCAAAGGAACCACCGCTACAGGTATTCTTGGGGATACCAAAGCGCTCTAGGTACTGTTGTTACTGTTGTCATTAGTTATTTGGTACCTCTGAGCTGGCCCTCTTTTCTTGTGGAACCAGGGATTGAACTCAGGCCTTTGTGATTCTACTGAGCCATCTCCCCAGCCCTAAGCAGAAGGCTCCGAATGCCTTCAGGGAAGGTTTGGCTGGCTTGAGTTGTGGGGATTGAACCACAGCAACCTGAGCCCGACTGCTTTTTTTTTTTGTTTTTTTCCCCTTTTAAACATTTATTTATTGTGTGTGTGTGTGTGTGTGTGTGTGGCCAGCTCAGTCCACCAGGGGGCAGGGCTGGCTGGCATGTGGTGCTGGGGGATTGAACCGCGGTCCCTGTGCTTTGCCAAGCTTGTTCCAAGTAGGTGCTTTAGACCACTGAGCCATCTTGCCAGCCCCATGACTGCTTTGTTGAAGCAGCCACTTAAAGAACTGAGCTACAGGGCAGGCCCCCCTAAAAAGCTATTTAATGCTTCTATTTTAAAATAAAAAACTCACTAAGGGGTAGAAGCCAGACTGCAAAAGAACAGGCACTTATACATTTTAAAAAGATCATTTTTTAAAAAAATCTGGAATACAAATGTACAACTTACTTGTGAGATCCAATCCCGGAAGGAAGCACCTTAATTTTATTATACCGGAGGTCCAGCCACGTCAGGTTTGGCAGTAACTGAAAGAAATCTTTAGGAATCATGCAGAGGGTATTTCTCTGAAGATGCAATTGCTTCCAGCGCAAAGAAGAGAAAATCAGAGAATGTTCTGTCAACCAACTTCATGTTGAAATGTGACATATTCAAAAAGCACTTTCAAAGGAACTACTAACAACTACAACCACACACCTCAATTAAAAAATATTTTACCCTTAAACAATTTAAACAGACCTAAAATTAGAAAGCCATTTTGAGGCTGGGGATTTAGCTCAGTGGCACAGCGCCTGCCTGGCAAGCATGAGGTTCTGAGTTTGATTCCCAGTACAAAAAAAAATTAGAGCTGAGCGCAACCTCCCAAATGATTCATGTGCTCCCCCAAGTGCATTAATTCCACTAGCAAATGTCCCTTGACACCATTCTTAATCGCAGTGACCTGCATGGGCCCCACATTCAATGTCATAGCTCTCAGGAGCCCCAGTAAACTTTCTGCTGAGTGAGTTAACGGCAAGAACCACGTCTGGTCTCAGGGACTGAGCTGAGGTTAATAATTAAGAGGAAACTAAATGAAAGCGGCACTAAGACATTTGCTGTGGCATTACTTAGGACACGTGACCACACCAAATCATCTGAGGACCCAGCATAGCAGGAAGAGTTTGAAACATCAACTTGGTAGAATTTATAAGTCACTGTCTTGGTTTATTATTGTTGTTGTGGGGATAAAACATTTGACAGCAAAAATTAAGGAAGGAAAAGTTTATTTAGCCTATAATTTATGAATTTTAGTCTATAATCAGAAGGCTGTAAGGCAGGGTGGCAATGGCACGTGGGCAACAATGTAAGGTGGCAGAAGACAGCAAAAGCAGTAAGAGTAAAAGAAAAAAGCAAGGCTCTTCTCTTTTCTTGTATCACATGCAGGCTGCTCCTACCCAGCGCTACCCACCCAAGCCATCTCCGTGCAGTCCTCTTTTATAAACTTTGTAAACATCTACACGCTGCTCCGGATGTTTACAAAGTGAACACCGTAGCCCCCTCCTGAGTTAAACTTTTAAACTTCGCAAGTTGACACAATGTGTCAAGCATTCTAGTCACCATGATAAATAAGAAAAGGTAGAAGATACTTATTAATGTATATTGAATGTAAATATATACACGGTTGACCCCATTTATCCATTGAGGATGCATTCCAAGGGACCCAGTGGATGTCTAGTACCATAGATAGGCCCAAAAATATATTGTATTTTTTCCCTATATGTATATATTTACCAACTACTTTTCGGAGGGGTTCCGGGAATCAAATTCAGGACCTCTCTCTTGCCAGGCAGGCCCCAGCCCTTATATGTACACATTTGTGATAATGTTTAATTTCTAAATTAGGGACAAAAAGAAATTAAGAACTAAGAGATTAATTATCAAAAACAATAAAATAGAATAACAATATGCTATAAGTCATTAAAACATGAATTATGTATTTCTAGACTTTTCTAGTTAATATTTATTTATTTTTTGTATTTTAGGGAAGGGTCTACAGGGTGTTCAGAGTCTCACTACTAGATGGGGCTTGTAGTGATCCGTCTGTTTACAGCCTTCCAAGAGCTGGGCTTACAGGCGCACGCCCCAGTCTCAATTGCTGTCTCAGCAAGCCCCAGGGGCAGGGCCAGCACAGCAGGACCGGGCCTAGTTAATATCTTTGGGTTTGTTTTATTTGGTGCCAGGACCTTGAGCTTGCCAGGCAGGTGCTGTGCCTCTGAGCTTTCTCTCTGGACCTATTTAATATTTCTTGGATAAAGGGGGTATACTATATACACAACTTTATAGTCATGGCATGGCTGGATTACAGGTCTTTTTAAATGCACCTTCTTTAACACTGTTGTTACATATTAATATGCATATTTATTTATATCTATGCTTATACTTATTGAGAAGACACAGAGATGCTTGGAACACTGACTTTCAAGCCAGACTTCCTGGGTTCTCTTCTAGGTTTTGAAACCTTAAGGGTATGTGAGTTTATGTAAGTTTCTAAATCTCTGTTCTCCATATTCTGACCTGAAGAACAGGGTATGGGACCTACCTTGCACGGTAGCAGCAAATGAGTACTAATTGTCAGCAGTTACAATTATTTTATATATATATATATGTATTTAATGTCTTTAGTACAGGGTCTAGAGGTTCTCACTACACAGATTGGACTTACAGTCATTCTCCTGTTTTCAGCCTCCCAAGCACTGGGATTACAGGCAGGTGCCCCCATGCCCAGCCTCAATGGCATCTCAGCGCGCCCGGGGGGCAGGGCCAGCACAACATGCCAGGGACCAAACCCTGGCCCCTGTGCTCTGGCAAAGCAGGCGCTTTCGTCCACTGAGCTATCTGGCTGGCCCTTCAGTTATGCTATTGTTTATTCAAAGAACCACCAGGAAGTTCTCTTCCTGTCTTAGTTTCACAACACCCCATTCCACCTCCAACCCCAATTTTCAAATTCAAATAATTTACAGGCTCTTGAGAAACACTGCCTCTAAAAATTTATGTTCACTGAGAATAATACATCTATATTAAGAAATTGACAAACTGCCTGCTGGAAGCCAGCACGGTCTCTGAAAGGCAGCCTGGCCCTTATGGGTACCCAAGTACCTACCTCCAGGTACATGAGGATGCACATCCCCACGCAAGTCCGTGTGCACCCCTCCAGGCCCACGCACACACGGATTTCTGTGCACCTGCCTGTGCGTCCATCTACGTTTGACTCTGTGGCCCTCTGCTGGAGCGCGGGTGTTAAGCCTGTCAGGTCCGCTCTTTCACCCTCCTGCCAGCTAACTGTACTGCTCAGTTTAAAACCGCAGGTCCTCCTGAATGCTGGAAAAGGGAATCTCAGAGACAAGAAAAATCTCTCTCTTTCCCCAGAATCCTGGGAATAGCAGGTAGTACTCTGCCTCTTTCCTTGCTCATAGGTCCTGGGCGTGTGAAGGGGGGGATTCTCTGAAACTATTATCATTCCCAGATACCAGGTGAAATCCAATGAGGTTCAAGAAAATTATGTGGTGAGGACGCACAGCCATGCGCCCTGACGATAAGGATTTTTAGAAGAGCTGCCAATGGCTCCAGGGATTGCTGCCAGTGTTCACAACCCCGAACAGTCCAAAGCTGAGTGGTTACCTCACCTAATGGCTGGTTGTCATAGTAACAAAATTCACAGTGACATGTGTCTCCCAAAAGATATAGTTATGGTATTCTGTATGCACAAAGGTAACATGAACCTAGTAGCTTGGCTGGGCTCCTCAGTCAGAGTTGAGAACATTCATTTCATTACAAGTGATACTTGCATAATAGGAGACCTCGTGAGGCCAGCACTGCACTCTTTGAGGTCAGTGCTAATGAAAGACGGAGCAGATCAGGGCTGGCTCTGTCAGCAAACACGGGGCAAATGTAACCAGGCGACAGTATGCTTCAGTAGCGCGAGCAGCCACTTACAATCCAAGAAGGCAGCGTATGTAAAAGTGTTAAGAAGTATCATTCAACATCACAACTGTTCCAGGTGCTGGCCCATATAAATTATTTCATTTTACAATAATTCATGAGGGGCTGGTGAGATGGCTCAGTGGTCTAAAGCACCTACTTAGAACAAGCTTAGCAAAGCACAGGGACCACGGTTCAATCCCCCA